CCCTTGTAGTTTTAGATGGAATCCGTTACAACCATTGTAAAATTGACAACTAAAGATTTCCACATCCATTAAGTGACAGATAATAGTAGCTACAGGTTGTTCTTAACTAGTTGGGACTGCCCTGGAAGGAAACAGCTCTGCTACATTTAAGAAAGAAATTTATTTCTAAATAGTGCTGGGTCTTCGGTGAAGTTACATCCGCGACCGCCCCTCCCCTCCCCACAGCGGCCCCCAGGAGCCCTTAGCCCGAGAAGGCCTGTAGTTGAAGACGTTTCGAAGGGAGCCCCAGCTGTCTCCCAGGCTCCTGTTCCCTGGTTATCCTGTCACAGCGGTCACCTCATGACTCAAGTGGACAGTAATGGTGGGGCTTCTCCTGTGGGGATTCCTGTGGCCCTCCACCTCCTCCAGTTTGGGCACCTGGTGAGAAACACAGGTTAAGACTCTAGGAGGGCCTTCCTGGGTAGAAAAGGCGCTGGCCCTGGCCAAGTCCTTTCTCCTCCATGGAAGTGGTCCTGGCAAGGCCCTGAGGTCCAGAGGCAGGCAGAATCCTGTCCCTGTCCTAGCAGGTTCTTGTGGGATTTGAAGGAGAGGGCTAGTTCTAGCCCCAAGTCCATCCTACCCTTTCCCCCTCCATCCTCTGACCCTGGAGGTCTCACTACCCCAAGTTCTGCCACTATGCCCATGTTGTCCCTTGTCTTATCCGGGTCTGTGTCCCGCTGCTCTGTTCACTACTTGCTCAGGCCTACTGTTCATCAACCCTGGCTCTGCCCCAAGCCTCCTTTCTCCTTCTTTCCGCTCCATCTCCTCTCTGTCCCACTATCTCCCTATCTCACGTCCTCATGAACTTAATGCCCTTCTCCTGGTCCCCTGCTCTCCTCTCTCATCAATCTGTCCTCCTCTCTCCTGCCTTCTTTCCTATCTTCTCCCTGTCCTCACTTCTTGTCTCTGTTCCCTCTCTTCCCTGTCCCCCCTCAGTCCCATCTCACTCTCTCCCTGTCTCTGTCCCATCTTCCGGTACCACTTTCCTGTCTCTCTGTCCCATCTCCTCCCTCACCCCTCTCCCTGTCTCTGTCCCTTCATTTCTCTGATACTCTGTCTTCACCACCTATCTCTGTCTCTCTCTCTCTTTCACACTGGCCTTCTTGTCCCTCTGTTCCTCTTGCCTGTCTTCCAGGTTCTCCATCCTCCCTCCCCACCCCATCTCACTTGAACCCCTTGTCCTGGACAGAGGCGGTTGAAACCTTGGAACAGGCTCTGGAGAATTTCCTGGACATTAGCATACGGGCTGGGAGCAGCAGGGGCACTGGGGACCGTGGTGGCAGAGAGCAGCAACAGCAACAGTCCCGGCGAGGACCACATCGTCAAGGGGACAAGGCCCTTGGCTGGCAAGGTTGAGTGGTCAGATGTCACCTCTGCTGGCCACTATCTAACTGAGCCCTGCCCCTTTCCAAAGCCCTGCTCCCTGTCCAGGCATTGCCCCCTCTTTCTACTCTGCCCACTCCGTCCTGTTCTCAGATGTTTTGTCACCTTTCCTCTAACCTTTCCCCACTGCGCTAGTTTTGAGCTTTCCTAAAAACTGTTAAATCCAAACCGAAGCCCGAGCCCCGCCCACCTCCTCACCACGCCCCTCGAGCCCGAGCCCCGCCCCCGCCGTTCCCACATCCTCTCGCTGCCGTGGACACGCCCTGGGGCCATAGCCACGCCCTCATGCCAGGTAGGTCTCCCTTCCACTGGCCACATTCCCCCCTGAGTCAAAGCCATACGCCACCTCTTCAACCTCCGCCCACCAGTGGACTTCAGGCCGTTTCGGGAGCTCCAGTGGAGTTGTTCCTAGGTAATTGCACTGTTCACCTGAATGAAGATGACACCTGCAGCCAGCCGCTCAAGGGATGAGGATGGGCGATCCCCTACCACGTGATTTACTGGCTCTTGAAAACCCGCTGGAGGGTCATCTTTGAGTCAGTTCCCTTTGGAAGACAAAGATTTACAACTCTGGAAACTCCACGGGGCAGTTCTGTCCTGTACGATAGGGTCAGCAGGAGTTAGGCTGAATCTGATTAGACAATGGGTTGTGGGAGGCAATTTGGAGCACAAAACAATCTTACCCCTCCCCCAACACCCCACTGATCACAGCCTCACTTACTGACTACTGTCCTAGAGACCCAATGTGTTGAGCCTTGCACAAAAGCCCTGCCCCCTCACAAAAGACACCACCCCGCGTTGGTACAGCTCCTGGGCTGCACCTCAGCTGACCCACAACAGAGCCCCAATCCTCCACCCCACACCCGCTGTGTGTGTGGGGGGGGAATGTCTTACCGTGGTCTGCGCTCCTTACAAGTGTCTCTGAATTCTCTTGGCATTACAGCATGACACTTAAGTAGCAGCCATTCCTGGGCCAATGAGTCCTGTCCCTCCCACAGAAACCTGAGCTCTAAAATGTTCGGGACACTCTTACGGATGGATCCATGCAGTCTGGCTGCAGAATCAATGCCTTAAACTACATCCTCAGTCCAGTCTGCACCGGACTCTGGTGGCAGAGGCTACTCTGGAGACGACGGGCTGTTCCTGCCATCACGGGTGCCTTCTTTGTCCCATCCATTTCTTAGTTCCAGCCTACTGCCAGACTGAGTTGAGAAGGGAGAAGACCTCAGATTTCTGTCTGTGAAAGGGTGGTCCTCTTAGGGACACTATTGTGTAGAAACCCTGATTCATGCTGCTGCGCTGAACAACTGAAAATTACATCCCTGTTTCTATTAGAGAATCCAGAAAACAATGGCGCCAAGAAATGCCATTTCCATGTTAAAAAAGTACAGGTAGCAATAGAGACTAGCTTGGACACATAATTTCTTTTTAAAAAAAAACAAACAACAAACTACACGCAGCAAGGTGATATAATGTAATGGCTAAACAATCAGAGGCCAGCGTCTGAGCAAGATTCCATTCTAATCAAGAACCTAACCGTGGAATTTAAATCCTAAACTGGAGAAAGTGTAAGGGCTAGGATATGAGACCTCGATTATCAGACATGTCAGAACTTGCAGCAGCAATACAGGTTAAGTGCAGCTTCAGAAGAATAAAATACTTTTGCTTATCAATAAAGTGAAAAGACAGCCCACAGGCTGAGAGGAAATTACAGAACCATTGTGGCTTAGTCCTAGGAGGTGTGTTGCTATCTCAAAGGCTGTTGGTTTGATTCTGCCAGAAACTCCAAGAGAAAAAGATGAGCAACTTTCTCCCAAGCAGTTTCCTCTGTCCATGGGGGAGTCAGGTAATCTCCTCCCTACAATCTGCTGGAGGGTCAGGGGTGAAGCAATTCTGACTTGATTACAATCAGGTGTCTGGGGATTGTATTTAAAAATAAAAAAATTCTAAAATTTCTACAGCCCAACCAAAAGACAACCCAGTGGAAAGAATGAGAAAGTACTTGAAAAGGCGGTTCACTAAGGAAGATACTGAAAAGGGTAACAAACAAATAAGAGACACTCAATGTTGTTGATCATGTTTCTTCTGTGGTTGATTTCAAATTCATTAGTTACCCAGGTGACTGCCCACGTGCACAGAACTTCTCCACAGGTTTCAAGGATGTGAAACTTTCAGAAGCAGATCGCTAAGCCTGTTTTCTGAAGTAATCATGGTGGGATTTGAACCACCAACATTCCAGCTAGTAGTCGAGCACTTAACTGCATTCACTAAGTTTGCGTCTCCTGAAAAAATGGTAGGTAGACACTTAAATTCTTCCAGCAAGGAATGAGAAAAAACATTAAGGTAATCAACCAGAAACATTGCTACAAAGTTGTTTTAATTAGCTCCAAAATACTGGAAAGAAGATTCAGTGCACAATATCATATCAGTAAAAAAATAGACAATTTCTGGATTACATAATATTGGCATTCTGCACATACAACCTAAGAGATCAAAAAAACAAGAACTGTACAATGGGGAGGTTTTACCGGGGACTTTTTTTATTGGAGAGTATGAGAAGTGTAATTGATTTCTCTTACTCAAATACTCAGATATTCCAAATTACTTATACACTATGAAAATAGTACTTTTAAATATTTTTTGTCTCAGGTAAAATGGCTAACTATAAAAATCACTTGTGTCTCTATGAATGATGCATTCATTAAAAACCCCTTTGTTTATACCGCTAAAGAAAATGGTGTAACGTCATCCTGATACTCACACAGAATACCACCTTTCCACAAATTATTCAAATCCAAACTTGCATAGAATTGTTAGATTTCATTAGGAAAATTGTAGGAACTATTATCTCCCTCTCTATATGTTTAATGCTAAAATCTTCAATATTATCTTGATGATTTAAGCATTATAATATCATTTATTCGTAGCTGTTATTTATCTGTTCTCTAATCTTTATTATACTCAAGGATCCTTGGTGGTGCAGTGATTAAGCACTCAGCTTCGAACCAACAAACTGGCCATTAGCACCCACCAGCTCCCTGCAGAAGCATGCTGAAGGCAGCCTTGGAACATTACAGCTTTGGAAACCTTAGGGGGCAGCTCTGCTCTGTCCTTCAGGCTCATAGTCCGTCAGGATCAACTCAACAGCAGAAGTCTTTCTGGCTTCTTTCCTCTAAGAATTTTGTTTTACACATGAAATACTATTTTTATTGTAACAATTTCCAAGACAAATATATTTTTCCACGTTCATTACACTGACAGGTTTTGCCTTGGTCTGAATCCCTAGTAGGTGACAGAGTTAAGAGGCCAGAATAAAAATGTATAGTGTTGTTGCTACATAAGCTACTGAGCATACAGTGAGTGTTATGGACATGCTGAGGGCTCTTCTGACTGTGCTTGAAGGGATTCTGCTCTCTAAAAATTCAGATCAAAAGCAATACAGTGCCTCAATGCTTTTCCACTCTCAAGAGCCAGGTAGGGATCTCCTGCCTTTGCTCTTCAGATGAATGGTGTCTGAGGAGCTACGGGATTTCCCAGCTGTGTGATATTCTGAGTGTTTTCTGCCAAGAGAACGGACGTCAGAGGAGATTTTCCACATCAAGAGCTCCCCTGGTGCCTCCTCTCCTGTGGATTCTCTGATGGCTATTGAAGGCTGACCGGTGGTGGAATTTCTTCCCACAGTCACTACATTCATAGGGCTTCTCTCCGGAATGAGTTCTGTAATGGACAGTGAGGTAGGACTTCTGGGAGAAGACCTTGCCACACTCATTGCACTCGTAGGGCTTCTCTCCGGAGTGGCTTCTGTAGTGAACAGTGAGGTTTGACATGCGGGAGAACACTTTGCCGCACTTGCTACATTCGTATGGTTTCTCTCCTGAATGGATGCGACGGTGGATAGTGAGGTAAGACTTCTGAGAGAAGAACTTCCCGCATTCAAAACACTCGAAAGGTTTCTCTCCCGTGTGGACTCTCTGGTGCCTGAAGAGGGAGGAGTTATGGGAGAAGGTCTTCCCACACTCATCACAGCTGAAGGGCTTTTCCTCGGAATGACTTCTGTAGTGGTCAGTGTAGCATGACAGGTCGGAGAACAACTTCCCACATATGTTACAAGCATAGGACTTCTCGCCCTGGGGGAGAGACGGACGTCCACTGAAGGCGACACCTGGAAGAAAGGTCTCCCCACATGCCTTGCACTCACAGAGCTGCTCTCCCAGGTGAGAGGTGTGGCTGGGGAGCCTGGAGAGCTGAGCCAACTTCCCACACTGGCTGCACTCGTGGACCTTCTCCTCTGCGTGCACCTTCCGGTGCCTGATGAAGGCCGAGTTCAGGTTGAAGGTCTTGCCGCATTCCTGGCACTCGTAGGGCTTCTCTTCCAGGTGGCTTCTGTAATGGGTGGTGAGGTACGACACCCGGGAGAAGGACTTGCCACACTCGCTGCACTGGTACGGCTTCTCCCCTGTGTGTGTCCGCTGGTGCGTGATCAGCGTGGACTTGCGGTAGTAGGACTTGCCGCAGTCTGTGCACTGGTACAACTTCTCCCCCGTGTGTGTCCTCTGGTGATCGCTGAGCGCCGACCTGCGGGAGAAGGACTTCCCACACTCGCTGCACGGGTAGGGTCGCTCTCCCGAATGGTTCCTCTGGTGCAGAGTGAGATGTGTCTTTTGGCAAAAGGTTTTCCCACACTCACTGCATTCGTAGGGCTTCTCTCCTGAGTGAGTTCTCCGATGTTGAGTGAGGTGTAACTTCTGGCAGAACGTTTTCCCACATTCGTCACATTTATAGGGTTTCTCCTCCAAGTGTGACCTCCGGTGCACAGTAAGGGTTCCTTTCTGGCTAAAGGATTTCCCACACACGTTGCACGTGTAAGGTTTCTCCCCTGTGTGAGCCCTTTGGTGTATGATAAATTTTGACTTTTTACAGAAGGATTTTCCACATTCACGGCATTCATAGGGCTTTATTTCCACACGCGATCTCTGGTAGACATTGCTGATAGACATCTGGATGATGTCTGGTCCAGAGTCACTCCAGTCATAGGCCTTCTCCCTGATGTAAGTGCTCTTACGAGTAATGAAAACAGCTTTGTGTTTTAAGGTTTCCATGCATTCACTGTATTTGAAAGGTTTCTCCAAAATATTAATGTTCTGGAGGATGTTTTCATTTTGAGAACAGGCTTCCCCATTTTTATTAAAATCACATGATTTCTGTCGATGACGGATTTTCTTACATTCACAACATTCACTGGCTTTCTTTCTTGCATAGCTCCCATCATTAATAATTAATTCTGAGATGGATTCTAAACTCTTTCCACATGAAACACAATTAAGAGCTATGTTGGAAGGAATACTACTTATTCCCACATCACAAGTTTCATGAAATACATCCTCTCTCTCTTTAGTCAAGCATCTGCTGTTGATGGAAACTCTGTGTTTTGAATGTCTATCTTCATTTCTGTGGACTCTTTCTGCCAATCCAGTGACTCTTTGGACATCTATAACAGGAATAAAAATGAAACCATATTTTCATCTGAACACATAAAACTACAGAATGGGAGTAATATTAAGTGCTTCGTTTGTAGGGCCAACTCTGTATTTAAGGCCAATATTCACAAGGAAAAATAGTAACAATATATCTCTTTATCTCTTGATTCCTGATACAGAACGCACACAGAGGGAATGAGTGGGGAAGGGACAAAGACGGGCTCAGATCCAGCAGGAGTGGAAAAGGGAGTGTACATTTACAATGAACATAAATATCTTTATTACTTTACAAATTAGTCATTCTAATTTTTTATTAAAAAGGTCAAGTAAATCCATCAAATGAGCAGAGGATAAGAGCACTTACTGTAAATGTGGTACAGGAAGAGCTAAGACAAATACTGGATGGATGTTCAAAGGAAAAATTCCAGTGAGAACTAACTGAAAGAACTAGACTGCAATTGATACTAAATTACAAGAAGTTACTGCCCAACAGGGCTACTTAATAACATCATGAGTTCAGACCCTTTTGGAACCTTTTATTCTTTTCCCTGCTGTACATAAAACAAAAACAAATGTTCTGAAAACTCCAATTTCCACAAATTTAGAGAAATAGTCTTGTAAAAAGGACTCTAGCACCCCAGCCCTGATACACATTCATCTGGAAGGAGGATCTGGGTATATGAATGTGCAAAGGAAATGTCAGGTAGAAACGGGGGCAAATTATCCTTACAGAAAGACCAGCTCTCTCGGTACATGTGGTACCCAAACTCATGACCATCAAATTCCTTATTTTCTACCTGCACAAAACTGCAAGGTGGTTAAGGGTAGAAATATAGGACAAAACGTCCTTTGATTAAATTCCCATTCCAAGGTGTTACTGTCAGGAAGAACTTGGGCAAGTTACTTAATGAATGCATTTCCACTCATTTGAAATGAGGATAAATGCCTAATTAAGGCTATAACAGGATTAAACGAGTTAATATACAGAAACTGCTCATAATTGCTCATGAAGATAAACTAAAGGATCACTATGTTTATCCATTCATTTTCCTTCAATTTTAAATTTTCTAAAACCAATCACGGCCCTGGCCGAACACTGTCACTTAATTCTTTTTTTTTTCTATAATTATATTTTATTAATTTTCATAAACATTTACAGAGATTTTGGGTTTCCATTCATTCATTGTTGCACTATTCTCTCTACCCTCCTCCCAGTTTGTTCTTCTTAATTCTGAATATAACTGTTGCTGTCGTTAGGTTTTCTTGACTTGGTTCTGACTAAAAGTGACTCTGTACAAGAGTAGCAAGCTGCCAGGGCCTGTCCCAGGCTCACGTTCCTACTGCATGGAGCCCACTGTTCCAATCACTATTCATCTGTTTGGTTGGGGTTCTTGTGTTTCACCTGGTGCAAACCACTGTATTTTTTTTATAATTTTTAAAAATTTATTTATTTTATTTATTATTATATTTTTTTAAACCACTGTATTCTGACACCTCTGACTATGTTATATCAACTTCTATGTATCTTGAAAACTTCTGGATGACTCTAACCATTAGTAACTGCTCTCCTCTACATTAAAAACAACATTAACTGTCCTATGCTCAAAAATATACTCTATTATTGACCTCAAACCAAAAGAAGAACATAAAAGGTATTATTCAGGAGCATTTCTTATCTGGACTCATAATATGTATTCAAGCTTGTATTGTAATGGTATTTAAAAAATCTCTTCTATCCCACAAAGGTTAGATTATGGTGTGGGACTTGGGAAGAATTAAAATTTTCTTTAAGTTGTAACTGAGAATAGCTGTAGCCTTATCCTGTAAAGCTAGTGCTGAGTTCAACTGGGTGCATCAGATGAATAGATTTTACAATTTCTAAACAGAATTCTCATTGTAAGCCAGGTGTCATTTCATTATTGTCAGAAGGAACGGACACTGTATGGAAACTGATGAAGGCATGTCACAAAATCCAGAAAGGGAATCCAAGAAGAATATAACAGCACCATCTAATTCAGGGAGGTGGGGGACTGCATAGAATTCACAATCGTTTATCATTTAACATTTTTTTAAATTTTAATTTATTATTTTATATGCGAGTACTGTCAAATTGGATCTCACTGGTACAAGAGGAGATTGTCCCTCCTTCTCCAGCATATATCATTTAACATTTTAAGAAAAAAGAAAGTGGACCATCGCTCTGGTCCAGTCATTTCATCAGGAAAAATATCCAACTAGATGCTGGTGGCACACAGCACCATATGTGCTTGGCTGCTAAAAGGGTCAGTGGGTCAAGTTCACTCTGGGGGAGAAAGGTGAGGTGGTCTGCTCCTGCTAAGATGTACATACAGCCTTGGAGACTCGACGAAGGGTCATCCTGAGTTGGAACTGACTGGACAGCAGTGGACTGTTTGAGGTGTAAGAGATACTTAATTGTCTTCTGTCACCCCAAAGACCTGAGATGACCATTTTAAAAACTTTGCTACTCTGCTGACTTACCTGGACATGGGAATTCACCTTCTGCCACCCATGGCTCTTCTCCCTGCTCCAACTTGATGATCACGTCTGGTTTGGTAAGATCAAGTCCTGTTAATGAGAAATGAAGGGCTTGGACCAGCTGTCTGGCTTCAGGCTCCCTGATGCGTAAGAAGATGCCACCTGACAGTCTACATAATAAAACTGCCAATTATTATTTTATCAAAATATAAGTTTTCAATGAGAGAAGTAAGGATAACAACAAAGTACCTACTGATGCAAAGAGATTAAATGGTCTTATCATCTGTTTCTTCAAGTTCAAGAGGAAGGCATTCGACAGGAAGTCCTCACACAGTATTAACCGAGAGGGAAGCTTGTCTCACCCAGCGAGCTCAGGTGACTGTAGTTCTCCAGCATCACGTCTCTGTAGATCAGCTTCTCCTCCCAGTCGAGCTGCTGCCACTCTTCCCGGGTGAAGTTCACGGCCACGTCCACAAATGAGACCACCTCCTGTAACAGCACAGTAAGTAGACTGAGTGATATGGAAAATACACACATGGACAAATCTGATTATGCTCACTAGTAACGCGAACCAAAACTCCCGTACACCTTACCCTATCCTGCAGACTGCTGGAGGGAAACACGACATATCAGAAAAACGTGTATTCAAAATGCTGCCACCTCCTTGCAAAAAAGGATCTCAAATAAATGACACCAGTGATAAAACTCCAAGCAAGAAGGAGAAAGGAAGCAGGCAAGATCAAAGGAGACGGGACACGATGGGCTGTGGTTCATTCTGTGTAAAAGGCGTTGGAATGAGTCAGAGCCAATTAGATGGCACAACGAAGAAAAGCTTTCTATCAAATTTCTTGAGGTGAATAAACGTATCATGGGTGCATCAGAAAATAGTCTCAATATTGGAAAGGGCAAGCTGAAATATTACAGGATATGAGGTACGCCACGTAAAAATCATGATAGCCAACAAACATACGTGTCTATACACAGATAATAACAAAACACATACTAAAAATGTTAAAAATAATCACACTGAGGGGAGCTCTGGTGGCCTAGTGAGCTCTGGTGGCCTAGTGGCAAGAAGGTGTACTGCAATCCCAAAGGTACATGGTTCGAATCCACCAGATGCTCTGCCAGGGGAGGAGGGACAATTTCCTCCTGTACTGGTCAGATCTGATTTGACGGTACATGCACAAGAAATAATAAAATAAAATTTAAAAAAAATCACACTGGAGGAAAAAGAAATATGGCTTCTTTTTGTACCTTTAAAATTATTTCAAAATAAAACACTGAAGCAAATAAAAAGCCAGCAAATATACAGAAGGTGTTTCAAATGAACCCAAACTAACTTAAAAGAACAGTGCTTTGCCAAAGATGGAACTATTTAAACACTGAAAAAAACAACAATTCATTTGACACATCTGCATTCAGCTTAAAGTCCTGAGTTCAAAACTATAACAAAAAAAGAAGAAAATGCTGTCTGGTGACTATTCAATATCTTGAAATTTTTTTCCTGTATAAATAAGTAAGAGAAGTTAATTTTTAGAAACGTACTTCAGCTGGAGACGAAGGTGCGCCTGATCCAGGCTATAGTCTTTGCAATTACGTGCTATGCATCAGAGAGTTGGACAGTGAATAGGAGGGACAGAAAGAGAATTGATGCCTTTGAGTTGTGGTGCTGGAGAAGAGTGTTGAATATACCATGGACTGCTAGGAGAACAAACAGGTTTGTCCTGGAGAAGGTGAAGCCAGAATGTTCCCTGGAGTCAAGGATTCTGAAGCTTCATCTGACATACTTTGGGCATGTTGCAAGGAGGGACTGTCCTTGGAGAGGGACATCATGTTTGGCAGAGTGGAGGGGCGGTGAAGGAGAGGAAGACCTTCAATGATATGGACTGATTCTGTGAGTGGAGTGGTGGGAATAAGTGTGTTTGAGATGGCTAGGTTGGCACAGGACAGAACAGCGTTTAGAGCTCTTGTACATAGGGTCGCTATGAGCCACAAGCAACTCGATGGCACATAACAACAACAACTTCAGCTGGAACGTAAACAAGTGGCAGACTTAGCGTTGAAAGACACACCTAACAAGAGAATCACAATAAATGGCCAAGAACTGGAGAAGTATCATTCTGCTTGGATCAACCAAGGCCACAGAAGCAGAAATGAAGACAAAAAAGAAGCCCTGAAACGGAAAGGCACACCCCCAGCCACTGAGGCAAGCCCACTCAGCGTGACCGCAATAGGACAGGGTAGAAGGGCCCACCCAGTTCCAACAATGTGAATCTCTTTCAATCTTCTCCGGTGGAGTAGCTTGTGAGTTCAGACTGCCAACCTTTTGATTAGCAGCCAAATGGCCTTAACCACAGTGCCTCTTCCAGGTTTTAGAAAGCAAAGATGTCACTTCAAGGTTTAAGGCGAACAAGAACCACGCGCAAGGTGGACAGTGAAACAGAAGACAAGGATGGATGCATCTGAACTGTGCTCATCTAGGTTATAGGCTAGGAAACACCTTGCACCAGGTCTCCTGGGTCCTGCAAAATCTGTTTGACGGTGCACAATATAATAAAAAGTCTAAAATGAAGAAGAACAAAAATAGTTTCTTACTACATGAAAATCAGATCATGGCTGGTATTTCTCTCACTCTGAAGACTTAGGTGCACTAATGGTCAAGCCATGGCATTTTCGATCCCATGATGCACAGGGAGGTCTACTGGCCTAGTGGTGAGGAGAAGAGCGACCAAGCCAAAGGCAGGCAGTCCAATTTCACCAGATGATCCAAGGAAGAATATGGGTGAAGGATATCTCCTCTCATATGATTTACAGCCTCTGAAAACCCAGGCGGAGGGTCAGCTGTGAGTTCATCCCGACTCAAGACAGCATATACCCACCACCGCTGCAACATACATATGTGAAAGCTGGACAATGAGTAAGGAAGACTGAAGAATGAATGTATTTAAATTACCGTGTTGGCAAAGAACACTGTCTAGAGGACAGATTGTCAAAAGACCCACAAAACCCGTTTTTGAAAATGTGTAGCCAGTGTGCTCCTTAAAAGCAAAGACTTAAAGACTTCAGCCAATTCTATTATATCGTGGTTATTGTAATTAATGTTATAAAACTAAATGTGCATGAATGGTTGACTGAAAATCCAGTTTGCTTGTAAAGTTTTACTCAAGTTACAATTTTTAAAAGTTCTAAAAAGACTTCATCTCCCATATTTTGGATATCATCAAGGAGGGACCAGTCACCGGAGAAGGACATCATGCAAGCGAAAAGAGGAGGAAGACCTGCAATGAGACGGACTGAGCCCGTGGCTGCAGGGACAGGCTTGATACAGTGTGAGGATGGTGTAGGGCAGGGTCAGTATTGACCATCTCACACACCCTGCACCTGTTGATAGGAGAGGCTATTCCTTGGGAAGAGACACCACGCCTTAGAAAGGGATAGAGTCAGCAAAAGAGGAAGATCCCCAGAGAGACAGACTGACACAGTGACTTACTGGAGATGATGAGGACGGCACAGGGCAGGACAGGGTTTTGATCTGCTGTTCATTGGGTCACTGTGTGTTGCAGCTGACTCACGCCACCAATAATCACTCAAACCATGTATCATACAATTAGGTCTTTTATCTAGTGCCTCCTTGTAAATCTCTAAAATGCATCACGCAGAAAAGTATCAATCATATAAATAAGAAACCCACCTGGGATTTGTTCATTTTCTGCTTTTCCCATAAAACTGTGGAGAACTGTAACAGTAAACCTAGAGAAGAAAAAAAAACAAGTAATCAACATTACAGTGAAGCAGGCACGCCTGGGCAGGGGTGTCCCGTACAAGAACCCCACAAAAGTACAACAAAATCACCTTTGGAACCCTTTCATTCAAATCAGCCCACTCCCATCAATTGATTCTGACCCCCAGCGTCCCTGCTGGTCCGAGCAGAATTAACCCATATAGTTCCAGAGGTTATATCTTTGCAGAAGCACACCACCTCATCCTTTGCTTGCAGAGTTCAAACCACTGATCTCTCCACTCACAGCCCAACACTTAACTCACTACACCCCCAGAGCCCCTGTATAAAAATCTAGAAAGGGCTCCAACAGTAAGCTGGAGGAAGCACCTGTGTGCCATTGACTGCAACTAGATTGTGTGCTAATTGCAGGGGTTGGATTCCATACTCTCCTTTTAAAAATTGCCGCTGTTATTTGTTATGTATCGTCAAGTTGAAACAGACGCATAGCTGACCCTCTAGTGGGTTTGCAGAGGCAGTAAATTGCATAGGAGGAGATTAAAACGTGTTCCTCCAGGCAGGCAACACAGCTCCTTATACTAAGCCACCAGAGTGTCCTCCTTCTAAAAACAGTGTCCATAAAAAAAAAAAGAAAAGAATGAGAGTGTCCAGCAGTAAACACAAGGCACAAATGATTTTTCTTCTCCTCACGTATTTTCTTACCGTCTCTATGTGGGTTCTTTTGGGTTGAAAAGAGGATTGAGAACATGAGCTCATTAAAAGAGGTAAGTGTGTGCAGAAAGGCATCTCTGTCTCTCTCTCTCTCATTGCATTGAGTCAGAACCAGCTCGGAGACCTCCTCTGGGGGTCAGAGGCTGTTAAATCACAAAGAAGGCGACTGCTCACCTTCCCCAAGGAGCTGCTGGCGGATTCAAACGTGCAGAGGAGTCACCTTTGGCTTGGCAGTGCAACTCCCTATAGACGACGACACCAGAGCTCCCTAATAAAGGCTGAGTTTCATTCTTCAGTCACCTGGCTAAATTTAAGTGCTGCTGAAACAAGATAATTTTATTAATAGGGTTAATCTGGACAGACCACAGACCTGGAAGCTGCGATTCTCAAGTTCTATTATATATTGTACTGCACTGGGAAAATATGCTGCAAAGAACGTCATTTGAGTGCCAAAGGGCAAAGATGTCATTTTGAGGGGTAAGGTCAACTCTACCCAAGCCGTGGTAATTTTAATTACCTCATATGCATGTGAAGGAGCTCTGGTGGTATAGTCATTACATACTGTACTACCAAGTGAAAGGTCAGTAGTTCAAATCCACCAGGTGCCACCCAGGAGAAAGACAGGCAGACTCCTCCTGTGAAGAACTATGGCCTCAGAAACACAGTAGAGAGTCATTATGAGTCAGAACCAATTTGATGGCTGTGGGTTTGGTTTAGGATTTCAAATGTGTGCATGAGTTAGACAATACACGATGAACTGAAGATGTGATGCCTTTGAATTGTAGGGTGAATGTACATTGAAGAGAGATGTACCATGCACTGCTAGAGAATGAACAGATCTGCCTTAGAAGAAGTGTGGCCAAAATGTTCCTTAGACTCAAAGTGATACGTTCTTTGTCTCGTGAACTTCGGGGATGCTGTCAGCAAGGATCAGTGGATCAGTACCTGGAGAAGAATATCCTGCCTGATACACTAGCTGTTGTTATGTGCCATCAAGTTGCCCTACCTACGCTCTGAACCCTGCTCTATCTTGAGCCAACCTTACTGTCTCTGACACACCTACCTCCATTACCCCAGTCACTGAGTCAATCCATCTCATTAAGGGTCTTCCTCTCTTGCACTATCCACCCTCCCAAGCTTGATGTCCCTCTCCAAGGACTGGCTCCTCTTTGCAACTTGTCCCAAGTATGTCAGACGAAGCTTCAGAATCCTTGCCTTCAAGAGCAGCCTGGTTTCACCCTCTTTAGGGTGGATCTGTTTGTTCTCTCAGCAGTCCACTAGAGGGAGTAAAAAAGTGCAAGATCCTCAACCAGAGAGACCAACAACAGTGGCTGCAACCATGGGATCAAATACAGCAATGACTGAGGACGGCACAGGACCCGGCAGGGCTTAGCTCTGTGGTACATAGGGTCTTCATGAGCGGAATTCGATTTCCCTGCACCTATAAAAGTTCTAGGCACCAGGTTCGAATCCACCAGCTGCTCTGCGGGAGAAAGTTGGGCAATCTCCTCCTGTACAATCTACAGCCTCTGAAAACCTGCTGGAGGGTCAGCTATAGGTCGGTTTCGACTGGATGGTACACAACAACAAGGTTCTAGTCTTTGCAATCCCACCTACAAACTCTATGATGTTCGACAGTCACCCAGCTTCTCAGACCCAATTCCTTCTATCAAAGAAGGCAGCAAGAACCAATCCGTGCACCGTGTCCTCTGTAATTCTAAGCTGGTGATGATGATGATGATGGGAGACATTGGAATCTAGGGAGAGGATTAGGGAGGAGGAGGGGATTAAGGAGTGGAGGGAGGAATGGTATGTATGATGTATAGATGTCTTCAGCAGTGGCTCTATCTCCGTAAGCCTGTTCTCAGCATCTGCCCTTTAATGTCACTCATAGTGTGTCTGCACCCTGAGTCAGCTTCCCAAGGATTCACGACCTACCCCTCCGGGGGCTGCTTGGGTGGGTGATCCGGTCTGATCTTTCTGACGTGGCCTCTGCTCCTGAGTCTCTTCTTTTCCCCCTTCTCGAGGACGTCCTGGTCCCCAGTCCCTGGGACGGGACCTACAGATCGGGTTCACTTCGGCTTGAGATAGGTTTCAGGTGAACCACCTGTCCCCGGGGCCTCGGCCAGGCCAGGATGAATGCAAACCAGGGACGCTGGCGATGCAGACAGCCCGAGCCCAGCTAGGCGCCTCCGATGCGGAGCACCTTCTCCCCCGTGGCCACCAGGTCCGGCTCGACCCCTCCGGCCACCGCGCAGAGGGCTCTGGAGATCGCGGCCGCTCAAGTCGTAGGAAGGCCAGTGCAAACCCTTCCCGGACAAGCCTGTGTTCTGCCTGGTTGTTGCCCCGCTAGAAGGTGTTCATAGCAGAGAAAACAGTTACTCGTCCACCAGTGGCCAAAGCCAGCTTTGACCTGCGGAGGGATCCGAGCAAGAGCAGAGTAGTCACAGTGCGCGTGCGCGGCGCGGCCCTGCCGGGCCAGGACTGCACATGCGCAGGAGGATTCTTGAAGCCCTTCATCCATCACTGGCACCAGGTCTCGTAGCTGGACTCCATTTCCCATAAGTCAACGCGCCACCTTTAAGGGACCGTCTTAAATGCCTCTGTTTTACTTAACCGTTTAACGTCACTGTATTGATTGTTTCTAGATTTACACGGTCACTTACTGCTTTATCTGAACCGACTCACAACTGACCTTCCAGCGGGTTTTCCAGGGCTGCAAATGGCATGGAAGGAGACCGTCCTGAGGAGCCACTGGTGGATTTGAACGGCCGAGACATTGCTTTGGAGTTTAGCTCAACTCCATACAGACCGTACTACCAGACGCTCTTCTTTCCTTATTTTGTTTTAATTTTAAAACTTTTACGACATGTTAATACCTAATAGAACTCTGGTGGACTAGTGAGTCAGGAATTGCGCTGCCAAACCAAAGGCATGTGGTTCTAATTTACCAGTTGCACAATCTCCTCCCCTGAGATTTACAACCTCTGAAAATCCGGTTCCGACTCTATGACAGTGAGATGAGATTAATACCTAATAGGGCTGTTGTTAAGTGTCATCGAGTTGAGTACGACCCATAGCGACTTTATAAACAGATCTAAACTATGTCCTTCCCTACGGCATGCTTGTCACGTCCGATATACTTGATCCCATGCAGCAGCCATTGTGTCAGCCCATCTTTTTGAGGGTCTTTCTCTCCTTTGTCCTTTCGTTTTAGGGTTTCACTCTGTTGTTGTTGCTGTTGCTGCGTGCTGTCGAGTTGCCTGTGACTCACAGCGACCCTGTGTACAACAGCTCTGAACCCTGCTCTATCCTGAGCGAGCCTCACTGTCTCCAACACACCTACTCCTAATACTTCAATCCTTGAGTCAATCCATCTCATCGATGGTCTTCCCTTCCTGCGCTGTCCTTCTACATTCCCAACCGTAATGTCCTTCTCCAAAGACTGGTCCCTCCTTGCTTCATGTCCAAAATATGTCAGATTGAGCTTCAGAATCCTTGCCTCTAAGGAGCATCCTGGTTTCACACTCTCTAGGATGAAACTGTACTCTTAGCAGTCCACCATATATATTCAATATATATCCAGTACCACAGCTCAACGGCATCAATTCTCCTATCATCCTTAGTCATTGTCCAGCTCTCTGATGCATAGGTTTCATTCTAAACAAAGGCAAACAACCAACATAAATGGCCACCCATATGGGATTACTAGGAAACTCTGGGGGCCTAGTGGTAAGAAACTACACTGCAATCTGGAGGCACTTGGTTCAAATTCACCGGTTGCTCCATGGGAGAAGGATGGGCAATCTCCTCCTGTGCGATTAACAGCCTTTGAAAATCCGCTGGAGAGTCAATTCTGACTCGATGATACATACCCAACAACAACGGGATTACTAGGAGAATTTAGAATTAACTACCTAAGGATGTAATAGTGAATAATACTGTCAAGACCTGCTCTACAAGAACTAGTTTGTTTGCCTTGTTGTTATGTGCCATCGAGTCTGAATCAACTCAAATTTGACCTTCAGTGGGTTTTTAGAGGCAATTAATCGCAAGGGAGGATATTGACCATTTTCTCCAGGAGATCAGTTGATGGATTCGAACACGTTCTTTTGGGTTGGTACTCCAACTCCATATATCTATATTTCTTTCAAGAGGTAAGATATGACAGGTATGTTTTATTTTGGTTTGTGCGTATTATTTTATTTTTCCACTTTTTTTTTCTTATTTGTGTGTGTGCGTGTACCGTGAAATCAGATCTGACTGGTACAGGAGGAGATTGTCCC